TCTGCCCGTCTCTGGTTCTAGTTGAAGTCTCAGCCATGTCCTGGAAGTCGCTGTGCAGGGATGTGTTAAGTTTAAGTCATGTTAAAACTCCCACATATCCAAAGGTTCCTCTCAGAGATCTAAAACTTTAGAAAGCCCATTTGACACTCCTGCCTCCACTTTTTACACCTTGGTTTTCTTAGGTACTTTTGGCATAGCTTGATTTATGTTCTCAGATTTATGCATCTATGATTTATGCATCTCAGACTAGATGCATAATTTTGTTCACATACTTAGAAGCTTTACTTTAGCCCTATTCCCTGCATTTCTTTTCTTTAAAGTAGGGATGATGCATACCTTTTTTGAGGGAGATGAAGTGAAGTGTAGATGTGAGTGGAAATGAGTGAGCTCATGTCTCCAGAGCACTCCACAACTGCAAGGTTACGAATTCAAGTTTAGGTTTATGCATAAGTCATAGGTTTCTCTTCTAATTTTGTGGAAACCTTTTTTAGGTGATAAGCTCAGCCAAATTCTTGTTTCAGCAGAAAAAAATGAAAAAGCAATCAATAAAACTAGAGAGGTAATACATAGTGTGTAAAAATACTCATTAAAAAGGTATCTGTATGGTAAACTATTACAGCAGAAAAATAAAAATATATGGATTAAGAAAAAACAGCTGTCATCAACAAAAACAGATAATATTTTAGGTGCTTCAACAGATCATTTAAAGTGGGGCCTCAGCTTTCTAAAGCTTATGTGATTTCAGTCATGCTCAGCAATGTCTGCTGTTCTAATGTGATTCTTCACTTTCTCACTCTTTGCTATTTCAGAGGCAATTCAGCAGATGTTAATTAACACCTGTGATAGCTAATATATTACCTAGAGGCATTTTCCTATCTACTGTTAGTCAGTGGAGAATTGAGCCAGGTACAAACCATAACTTGCCAGCCCTGCAGGAAGGGCATTTACCTCTAAATGCTCAGTGCAGTATCTAGCCATGGGCTTGTCCCTTCCTTAAATGCATGCCAGTGTAAAATGCTGTCCTTGTATATTCTGTACATATGCCTATTACATAAATTCTACTTCTCTAGCTGTTTTAGGGTCTAGCAAGGAAATTGTTACACCACTAGTATAACAAGAAAAGAACACAAGAATAGAGAAGTCAGAAAATATGTTTTTTTCTCCCCTTCCTCCCCTCTTTGCAGAGGTCTGAGCGACAGGATTTCTAGGAAGCACTGTTGGCAGGATTTCTCTTTGAAGTTTACACCATGCTCCTAGTCCTGAACCCAATGATGTTAAACAGGACAGGTGAATCAATTCTGTTTTTTGGAAACTTGTCACTGAAAGCACATGCCAAGATAAATACAACCAAGAATGCACAGACTACGAGGCTTTTTCTGTTTTCCAGGCAGTCATAGTTCCAGAAACAAGACTAAGGCTTGGTTCTGCTCCTGTTCATAAAATGCAGTGGGAAAGAACCCAGAAACAGATCTATTTTAACTTTTCCCTTTCCCTTGGCCACTGAAGTGCTGCCCACCCTCCTGTCACTGAGAAGCTCTTGAGAGATCAGTGAATGGTTTATCTGCTCAAACATTTACAGACTGAGGATAAAACAAAGACCGGAAAGCAAAATGAACTTAAGTCAGCAGTGGGAAAAAAAAGGTGAGTCACCAAAGTTCAAGTGCACACTACCTCTAATTTTTCTCTTCAGCAGGCATTCAAAGGTATGGTCCTTATTTTCAGTAATGGGGAGAGTAAAGCTTTTTATCTCCTTATGTAAAGGGAACTAACACAATGAACAATAACTTTGGATGAAGAGAAAGACCTGAGACACTGCAAACAGGCAGCAGGAGATTCACATCACGCAAAGGCTTGTGTCTGAGAATCAAGCTTATTTCCCATATTCCAAAACATCTGATAGTCTGGTAACTAATACTCTGAAAAGAACCAATCTATCTCATTTTACTCACAAGAAACATGATGTTTAGACCCCATGAGGATTACTCACCAGGGTAGATTTTTTTGGTTAAAATCATGCCTTATAGCTAAAATGGAAAGCCACTTGCTGTCCCCAAAACATGTATTATCTGATGTTATATTGCTTTATCTAGATAAAACGGGCAGTAAATCAAATTCATAAGCTGCAGCTGCTAATCAATATGCTTTAGTTGAAGACTACATTCAAATACTGTTTCTTAGAGCTACTTGTGAATTTCAGATGTGTCATTAAGGATAAAATGATAAACTACTTCACTACTTCTGGTGTTTATAAAACTGAGCAACTTTGTCTCTTTTGTTGTATTCTGAAATGAAAAATCAGAGCCAGCAGGTTTCCCATCTTATTTACAATAAATTAGAGATGAAGAGGAAAGGTTTGATTTTCAAAACAGTGTAATTTTATGGTCTCAAATATTATTCTATAACCAACCTGCTCTTGCCCCAGCTTTTAAAAGACATCTTAGAAAATACCAGTTTTGGGTTTCTTTGTTTTGTCCTACCAGATAGAGTCCCAAGAGGCAGCAAAATGAGCTTCCAGTTTGTGCCTGCATTTGAAACAGCTTGTCTTCTGATATCAGCTGTTTAATGAGCCAAATTAAACATGGACTTTAAGGCCAAGCACCCAGCTGCATTGGCCAGGCCAAGGCCAGGAGTGCTGTCCTTCAGATTTTAGCCTTCATATGAGGTTATCTTGCTAAGGGACAAGACACTTGATATTTTAAATATAAAATTATCACTGGTGCCATTACAGTGAAAAGAGAACGAAAAAAACAACAAAGTAAAAAATATACCACCACCACCAAAAACCAAAAAAAAACCCCCAAAACAAAACAAAAAAACCAAACAGAAAAATCAAAATCAAACCAAACAAAAAACCCCTACAACCCCTTTCTCCTGCTAAAAAAAAAAATAACAATCCTCCAAACAGTAAGGTCCCCTTCTCCATTCTTCCAGTTCAGTTTAAGTCATACCCTGACATAACATCTGAGGTTAGAAGTCTTGAGGCTTTCAAGGCATTTATTCCAGCGTTTCCAATTTAGGATCATTTTCTGCAGGTGCTCCCTATAATCTTTGTTGAAGCCCAGACTGACCAACCTACAATAGCAGGGAATGATTCACCAGGCAACCACTCAGAGATTTATTTTTAGTTTTGGCAAGAGTAGGAATAAGCAAGCATATACTTTGCAAGTTTATTTCAAAAGTTCATTCTATTTGCTATTTTTTTTTTTTTTTTTTTTTTTCCCCCAAACCAGCAATCCTTAGTATCTGGGATAATATTAAGAAAATTTCACTATAACTGACATAGCTGAGGCTCACCTCATCTGCTTATTTCCATTTGTTTTGTCAAAGTCACTGTTTACTTTTAAAAATGTACTTTCTCAGTCAGCCTATTTCCTCAGCTTACTTTCTGATTCATGATCTCTATAAAGATGAGAAAAATACCCACACTAAGAGTGCAAACTGCCTTTTAATAATCCAATGTCCAGAAAAGCACTATTGTTATAACAGAGCAAGTATTGTCCAATACATAACAAACTATTTCCACTTCAATGGTTAAAAACAGTAATTCAGCTGCTCCATAAAATACCATTTTTTTTTTTTTGTTCTGTATCAGCTTAATTAATTTACATGTGTACAGATTACTTAAGCTTTATCTGGGGCTCTGGCTGAGAAACAAGAGGCCTTCTCCCTGCTCCTGGCCCTGGTGTGGGTGAGCACTAAGCTGCAGGTACTGCTGGGCACAGAGGGCAGGGAAAGTGAGACGAGGCAGCCAGCCCATTTTCTCATGGATCTAGTTTTTCAGTGGCTGCTATCACATTCATTGAAGCAAGGATTTGACTGAGCAGGAAGATAGAATTACGTCTCCTTCCCACAGCTCAAGGTCAGGATAAAGATGGAGGAGTGCTGTGAGGTATTCTGCGTGCATTTATTGACTTTGTATTTTGACCGAATTTCCAAGATGAAAGTATCGTATGCAAGGATTAAGATGTGGCTAATATTTAGTCACATATTAGCCACTATTGATATTGAATCTTAGCAGCACCCATCTGAACAACACACCAGACTTCTCAAATAAAACCCAAATTGGATATTTCTTGAGCCTAAGTAAAGACTTGCAGCTAACAAACCTGAGGCATTTCCAAAAGGCAAACAGAGGTTCAGTGTAAAACAAGGCAGCTTTGAGGTACAGAAGAGAGGAGGAAAGTGTGTTTTCACAACAGTTTAAGGATTAAAAATGCAGAAAAACATTGATATAAAACACTAGTCTGCATTAATTCTCCAGCCTCTGGCTAGTTCTGAGGAACTGACCCTCACAGAACTCGCACCAAACCAGATGCAGGAGTTAAGAAATGCATCAGTGCAATTTCTGCTAACTTGTTCTTCCATTTTGGGCACACAGACATACAAAAACGTTTCTTTAGACCTTAGAATACATAAACACAGCAGACTATTTCTGCCTGTAATAAACATGAGCAGTTTGCCCACCAAAATAGTATGACAACCCTGGCAGCAAAGCCACCCCTTTCTGCCTCCTTGCCCCACTCCCACCCTGGGTTAACTGTAGCTGGAATTGGGTTCTTCTTAATCCACCTCTCAGTTTCCAGCTTTTAAACTTTCCCCCTTCTCTCTCATCCCCCTTTTTCCAAGACTAGGTTTGCTCTGACTGCTTCCTCTCATGAGAAAGATTTCAGATGTCCCTTGACTGAAGAGGCCTTCTGTAAGAAAAGCACTTTTGAGGAGAAAGTTTAAAGAGCTCCCCTCACCCACCCCAGATCTTTACTTGGTCAGATCTTTGCATGGAGTCAGCAACATAAACAGGCAGTCCAAATCCAGTACTTTGTGGTTTTACTAAATGAAATAAAAAAAAAAACAACAATATGTATCTACACACTGGGTGGGAAAAAAAAAACCCAACCAAACAACCCAAAAAAAGAGAAAGCTTTCATGGAAATAGATTTGATGCTACAGTCCCTTTGTCCTTGGGTTCCAGAGTCTGAAGGAGTGAATGACCAGTGAGCACCTCAGCAGCTACGTTGTCTGAGTTTATTGCACAGGAGCTTTCAAGGTTCACTACATATTATTGTGCACATTAAACCATGGGGCACTTGCCCAGAATCTGGTGCAACATTTAATTTTGATTGTCAGTGGCTGGTTTAATTCACATTTTCAACTGGAACTCAGTTCTTATTTCCTTTCTAGTCACTTTTTATTTTTAATTGACTTCAAATGATTAATTACAAATAACCAAAATCATAACTGCATAATACTTGACTGATAGGAAGTAATTTTCAGTGCCTGCCACTATGTAGTATCTCGTATTCAGAAAAAGTCTAAAACCATCTTAACAATATAAAGTATATTGCAAATGCATTTAAAATAAATAAGTCAGTTGTTGCTACATCACCTACTATCAAGAAACGTGTAATTGCTAAGTATTTTAGCTGATTTTGCTCTGTAAGGCACAACACCAGTACAAATCTGGCTTATATTTGTCCAAAAATCCAAGAGCTCTTAGAGGGAGCAGATAACTACTTGAGTGAAAGCACATCATCTCACCATCAGAAGAAATCCTGGGACATTTAACCTTGCTTCAAAAGCCTCAGATGTGGTAAACAGCAAACACTTCCAGTGGTGCCCAAGCCTACTTCCACACTAGAACTGCAACCCTGCTTGTGCTCTCCAGAGCTGGGCTCATCTCCCAGAAGCATGTTTACATCTTATCACATAATTTCTTCATTGCAGCTTCATTACACCAGTTAACACCAATTATGCAAAAATCATGTATCCCCTGGGTAAATAGTGTGAATTTCTAGACACCATGGGCCTCCCTCTGTAGTAGAACTATGAGGGACCAGTCTCTGAAACACCTGCTTAGTATCACACAGTAAGAAGAGGGAGAATACCAGCATGGTCCTGCCTTTTCCATATGTAAATGTGATGTGGGACATGGGCAAAGGCAAGGGCCTGCTCCTCACAACACCTCTCTTTTGACCCCCGTGGAGGACGGAGGACGTGTTTGTGGCTAATGGCAGGACAGGCACACTTTCGGCACCGCCGGAGGTCCTCGGCCCTGAAATTACATAAGAGCACTTTGTTCCCCCCTTCCTTCGATAAGACAGCTTGTGAGACGAAGGCAGCAAAGCACCTCCTCGGCCTGAGAGCCAGAAAGAGCTAGGTCACAGGCCTCAGAGTCAGCACGTTGGCTCCTGGCAAGGGCTGCAGGAAGGTTCAGAGACCCCACCATCGGCCTTGGGATATAGCACCTTTGAGTCCGCTCACCACAGTACAGGGAGTGGGGTGTTTATTTGTGTTTTTTTAAAAAGACAATCACATCGTCCCGTCATCCGGGGGTTTGGTATTGGCCGTGTTCACCTAACACAGCACACGATTCCCTCGCCCGGCAGTGGTGCCGGGCTCCCCGCAGTGTCCGCTCAGCGTTTGGGAGGCCGCTGCCGACGAGTCACCCATGGGTCCAAGCCCAGCTGTGGGGCAGTCACTGACTCCTGCTGCCGGTCCCGCCAGTTCTCCGGCCGCCCATCCAGTGGCAGCTCCTGGGCAAGGCCCTCCTGGGCTACTCGGCCCCTTGGGCGGCGTGGCCCGGGGCGCCGCCGCCGTCGAAGACCTCGGGGCTGTCGGCCAGCAGCGAGGTGCGCACCTTCCGCCGCTCCTTGAAGCGGCCCGAGTGGGACACGCGGAGGCTCCGCCGGTTGCCGACTCCGGTTCCCGCGGCGTCGCCGCTGCCGAAGGGAGGGGGCTGCTCCTCCCGGCCGTCGGGGCTGGGGGTGTCGGCGGGGGTCTCGCTGGCGACGG